GAAGCCTGCTCGGGCAGGGAGGGAAGCCCAGCCCGCCCATTCTGGCTGGCAGCTCTGCTCCCCTTGCTCTTCCAGGTTCCGGTACGCTGGCCACTTGGTCTTCACGCACGTGGGAGCACCAGAAACTGAAAGACCAGCTGCCCGGTGCACATGTGCCAGAAAGATGATCTTCCTGTTTCTGGTGCACGCATGCACACTGGCCAGCTGGTCTTTGTGCATGCATGTGCATCAGAAACCCGCAAGAGCAGGTGGCCGGCGCGCATGCTCACACGAGATCATCTTCCCAGCGTGTCATAGGTTTTGTGTCAGCTTCTTTCTCTGGGGCCAGCTAGCATAGCTTTATATCTCAACTTACAGAAATCCCTGAAAATATCCAGCTGAAATCACAGGATTTAATACCTGTTAAGGTATTTTGTTTTCATCTATTCAGCCAAACAAAGAAGAGCTACATATTATTTCGAGGCTACTGTATGAGATCCTAGGACAATTTTTAAAAAAATTTCAAAGTAGTCAAACTGAATTAATCTGCTCTCAGACATTATCTCAAACTATTAATGGCTTCCTTGAATCTTGAATTTCCAGTGTTGGTTCACATGGACATAACTTTTATTTCCCCAATGAAAAGTCACTAAGAAGGAATGAACAACCAGTCTTGAGAAGAGAAAAGAAATTAACAAACCCTGAAGGGGGACTTTATGAAAGATTACTCAATTCTGAGAAAAAGGAGAGTAAAATTCAAAATATCCTGGCCATTTAAGAGAAGGCTTTTAAGATTTTGTTATTCTACCATATAAAGCATTGCTAGAATCTTTGGTTTCTTAATTTTACCTACCTTGAAGTTATGGAATAAATCTTGAAACGTCATTACTCTCTCACTACAGAGGATCAAGCCTTGCTTTTAGGCCCTGAATATGATGACAATGCCTTGAGGCACCTCTGTCGGCAGAACAAATTGCTGAAATATTATTACATCATCATGTATGCAAGTAACAAACCTGCACAATGGCAATGGAATGATGCAGCTATTCAGGCAAGGTTTACCTCATCCAGTAGTCCCACAACTTGCTGCCCAACAAGTTTTGCTCCAGTCTCCTGGATCAATTTCTGACTTTCACTAACATTGTATGAATTGTTTATGCCAGCCTGGCCCGTAACATTTCCTACAAATCCCAAGTTTATTTTTAGTCTGCTGAAAGAAGAGGCAGCCAGATAGGCTATGCCCTTCATTGAGAGCAATGTTGCATTGTTGGATAAGTATCACAACTTGAAGAAATGTATACTTGCTTTTGGTAATTTAATTAAGAGAATAGCAAATTGGGTGATTTACAAGATGAAGCAAAGAACTCATCACCTTTATGAATATATAGCTGATTTCCAGTGTGTGCCAGAGATGTACGTTAGAATCAGGGGTTGGTTCTACTTACCTTTACTACCGGTTCACAATGGGGCTGTGCGCGCGCTCCTGCGAACCGGGGGGGGGGGGGACCCACCACTGGTTAGAATGATTTTACCCTGATTGACCAGTTTCAGAAAGGATTCTCTGGTGAACTGAGGGATGCATTAGTAAGACAAAGTATAACATACATTTTTAAAGTATTGTTTCAGTGTTGTGTGTTAATTATCTGGTGATCTGAATAATTAAGGCATGGATGAAACAATAAAGGGAAGATGTTTTACAGTCTTTTGTTGCCCTACACACACATAACACAGCCTCCTTGGATTACAGCATCATAGGATTTATGCAAATAGAAGGGATAAAGAGATGTTTGTTTTCAACATTAAAAACAGAAGGAAAAATTGCAATTTAGGATTTACTATGGAACTTCAGAACTCCTAGCCATGGCCTGTTCTGCTAAGGTTAATTACTCTGAAGTAGCTGTAAAGTGTTGCACCAGTGGAACCGGAGTCACCACATGAGCAAATGCCTGGATTGTTCCAAAGACTCATCTTCAGAAAGCTTTGTAAGCTTCTCTCTCAAGAGCTCTGCAGGGGGATTCTCAAATAAATAAGAATAGTTCAATGGTTCATATGCAATTGCATTTCATTATTCCTGTTAGGCTTTACAGGCCCTTGAACATAAAAATACAGTTCTCTACTCTTTTAGACTGGTGCAATAGTGAATTTTATAGATGAGAGTATAGTACATCAGTTTGTAGAACCTGATGTGTAGTTATCTTTATGCAGTTGAACCTGTTTTGCAACATACTATACAACTGAAATATATGATCACACAGAATTCACTTCCCTATTTTAGGCTAAATCTATATATTGTATCTGTTGATTGTCTCTGTCTGTCTGTCTGTCTGTCTGTCTGTCTGTCTGTCTGTCTGTCTATCTATCTATCTATCTATCTATCTATCTATCTATCTATCTATCTCCACTTGCATTTCTTCCAGCATTATCTCTATTCAAATGGTGTCCAGAGAAGAATGGAAGACATTTGGGGTGGGGGTGTAGCTGGTTAGAATGGGACTCAGAATGTTTTAATTTTTTTAAATGGCCTATTGAATGACATACAGTATTATGTTTACTCTGTATGTATCTGTGTACATTCTGTTGGTACTACCATAAAATGATAAAACATTTTATTAAAAGTTACCTTACAGAACTCTGAATACCAAAGGTCTTTGTGCTGCAAAGACCTGCTGTCAGCTTACATTTATATTGAGCTAGAAACTGTGAAAATATGTTTCAACTAAAATCAATTTGGTTAAAACTGAGAAAAAGTCAAATATGTGACAAACATACCATGCCTGGTTCATGGTTCTTTTATTAGGAGTATTTCCTGCTGAACTAATGTCTACCAGAAAACAAAAATAAAAAAAGATTTCTCTTTTTAAATTATTTTTAATTGCAGTCCCCAAAATTAAAAAAAAGTTGAAGCTTAAATCTCGTACATATGCATATAGAGAAGCATATAGTTAGAATAGAAGTTTTGTATTTATTCACCTTTATTTCACAGGCATAGGCAGCATTTCATCACAGAATAAAAGCAAGCCATGTAGAACAAGTAATGGAAAATTAGAATGTGGAAATTCTACAACCCCTGAAGTCCAAAGGAACCCACAGAGGGATCACTTCCCAGCATCTATATTTGCCAGTGCAAATCTCATTTTTGATATTGTTATGAACAGTGGAATGATAGAATAAATACAGTCTGGTATTATTCTTAATACGATAAATAACACATAAAAGAAGAAAGACAAAAAGTGCAATTAAAAAAACCCAGTATAAAAAAATATAAACGAACTATTTCAGTAAGAAATATCTGATGCTTAGGAAGACATGTAAGGTTGAAAGCTTTTTAAAGCAAGCCCTGAACAATAACAGCTTAAGGTTTGTTGAAAGAAGAATCCACCCAAAAGTCTCCCCATCCCTCCTTGGTTTGGTTCATAGGGAGATGAGAAATGTACTCAGTTTAGTGCATGTTTCAGTTTGCTTTCCTTAGTACAACTGTGAATTTTATTTCAATCCCCAGTGTGCTTGTATTCAGCTTTACTAAAGCATATAGTTCCACAAAATATATATATTCTGAAGTTGATCATTTTAACCGCTGCAATGATACCCTGTATTTCTTGGAAAGAACTTCTGTTTTAAAAAGTTTTTTATTTTGAAAACATTAAAAACAAGACACAAACACACATTTAGATACAGATCACTTTTCCCTACAGCTACTTCAAAGTAATCCTTTCTTACTATTTACATCTATTCACACACATTTTAATTTTATCTTATTCAACAATTTGTTTCATTCTTTCTTTCGTCTAGATTGTATTTTGATCTTCAACATTTTTTTCTCCCCTCTCTCCTTTATTCCTCTTTCTCATTTTCTTGGAAAGAACTTCTGATCTCTTTACAAAGATTAGCTGAACTGTGAGACATGCTTCAATGTCCAAAATAATTTTGTATCTTATAATTCTACCAAAAGAACATTGACTACCATTAAAGTCAATTTGAAAATTATTTCTATATTACAATTTTATATATAGCTTTGTACCATATTCAAAATTATACACAAAAAACTTTGTGTAAAATTTTATTATTTAAATTTTATGGTGTTTCTTAAATTTTATACCATCCTACTAGTGTTTCAGACATTCTATTTAGAACTAAATACTATGCATTCTTTTTTTAAAAAAAAACATACTTGGATATTTACTATTAATGAAATACTGAACAGCCTTAATTTCTATTAATCATATCAATTCCCCATTTATTTTGTATTTTATCTTTTGCACCCTATTTTTGTCTCTCGTGTTTTTTTCTCTTTTGTTTATTCTTTTTCTGCTCTCCCTCGCTGGCTCTCCAGCAATTGTGGCCAAACTAAGCCTGGCCTGGAGAAAGGAGGTTCTAGGAAACAGACTAAGGCCAAAGGCACTAGGCTTTCCTTTTCCACAATTCTGATATAATGATACACAGGGAGTGCTGCGGAAGAGACAAAACCGACGTTTTGCTTGAGAGTGCAATAGTTCAGATGATGCTTATGCCTTTCATCATAAAGACCTTTACTCCGTCTGGCTACCACTCGAAGGGGCTAATGGGGATCCTGCAGGGATTCGCTTATACTGGCGAATCCGCGACTTTCTCCTCCGCCTCTTCTCTCTTTTGTGCGGCTTTTCCCGCACCCGCTCTCCCTTCCGCCGCTTGAGTTCTAGTTTAGGCGCTTGCTGATTGGACACACAAACACACACACGTCGCCTCCTCGCTCGCAGAGAGCCGCTGGGGAGGGGCCAGAAGGAGCGGCTGAAGCCAGCTGTCCAAACGCACGTTTTGAACTTGAATTAGCTGGGAAAAGGCTGAGCGGCTGGGGAGCGCGATTGCGATTTCTTCCCCTCGCCGCCCTTCGAAGACCACGGCTGGGCGGCGGCGGCGGCGGCAGGGAGCAGACGAAGCGAGGAGCGCCCAGACCGACCGCCAAGCTGCCCCTTCGTCTGGAATGTCTCTCTCCGCCCCCGAGGCGATACTTACAGGTGACTGCGCTCGCCAGCAGAGTTTCTAGAGAAGAAAATCGCAAGCGTAGCCGGGAAGGGTTTCTGGACGGCACGCGAGGTGCCGTGGGGGAAGGGATGAAACTGCTCGCGCGGAAGCTGCCGTCCTATCTTGGTTCGCTCTTTGCAGCCTTGCTTGGATAATCAGTGGCGCCTTTTTCGTTCCCACTGCTGGCGTCGCCTCCCACCTTCCTCCTCGCTTCTAGTTTAATGGTTGGCTTCACTGGAATACCTTCCTCCGGCATCATCCACCCGAGGCAGGTGGGAGGGAGGGGGAAATGGAAGGAAATTGTGGGAATGTTCTTAATTTGTCTCCGTAAATCCCACCGGCGTTTTTTTCCACGTCTTTTTTTTTGCCCTTCCATCCCAACCGAGTGTTCTACGAAGTAGCAGCCGTGGCCTCTTCGAGTTGCAGTTACAGGTGGCAGCGTAGCCAGAGCCTCCCTCCCCGCCCCCCGCCACCCCCTTTCTTGGAAGGAGCTGTCGCGATTTCCCTTCGCCGCATCCGGTCGCCCATTCCGCGAGCCGCTCTCGATCCCACCGCCGCAAAATCCCCCAGCGCCCCGCCTCCCCTTCGAGCGCGCCTCTGGTTTTCCCACGGATCGCGCAGCCGAGGGGAAACGGCCGGGAACGAAGCCTCGAGGTCAGGGCTTCCAGGAACCGGCAGCGGGGCAGGTTCGTGACCAAGAGCCCCTTCTAACTCGGTGGGAAGGTTACCACCGAGGCTGCAGTCCGCAACCCTCCCTGGCGTTCCTTGAAGATAGATGGTTTTTCAGTGAGCCCTGAACTATATCTGTGCCTCTAAAAGTGGCTTCCTTCTCTGATAAAGACTTTGTTGCCCAACTCATAAGACTGATTCCCATAAGACGTGTGTAGTACTAAATGTTTTGGTTCATTGATTGACCGATTGACCGATTGCTTTTTTATCCTAGCCTGCCTCTGAATTTAGGAGGATTTACAAGATTTGCCCTGTCCCTTTTATTCTTGTAATAAACTGGTGGATTAGGCTGCAGGGTATTGACCAGCCAGGTTATTTGCTGAGCTGAATGACTGGGTAAGAATTGAGTTTATGGATTTCTTCCAAATTAATCCATTATTTCTCTACACTGCCTTTTTATATATAGAATAGGTAAATAAATACATATTAACAATTAAAGCCTGCAATATATGAATGTCATTTAACGAGACATTTTAACAAGAGAAAGAGCTAAAAGATAAAACCAAACACATAGTATTGTGAAATGAAATGGAAATCAGTTTCCTAGAAAAGTCTTTCTCTCAGGGAAAATATGGGTATTGTTTCAGGCACCTGTCTTCAAGCAAAAGGAAAGCTGAACTGATAGCTTTGAAGGCTATCAGTATCTTTTCTTTTGTGAAAAGCTTCGCTTTTGGAATTTTGTTCATTAAACAAAGTAAAGTAAAAACCAACTGAGGCTGCTCTATTTTTAGTTGATTTATCATTGATGTGTACGTTCATTTTAATGAATAGTGGAAACAATAGCTTACAGCCCTAGAGATACTTATTTCTAAATATTTTTGCTCCGAATGTATTGCAGCACAAGATATATCTAAGTAAACAAAACAGGTTAGGTTTTAATATTTTTAAAATTGTCTTATGCTTTCTTATATTTTAATATATTTTTTACATTTTACTTGTGTTTTAAAATTTTGTGTATCATTTTATTAGTCACCGAGAACCATTTTAGTAGAATATTAGATAATTTTTGTTGCTGTACAAAATTAATCTTTGATTTGTCAGTTTCTTAAAAAACCTGTCTTTTATTTCAAGCTTTGATTGGTGGAATGAATAACTAGTTGGATTTTACAAAAAGCCATTTGTTTTCTACTGTAGCTTGGTTTCATTTGTTTACAAATGATTTTATAGTCATAATTATATTGTTTTCCATAAACTTAGAAAATAATTGATTAAAATTTGCTATGCTAAGTAAGATCATTATGAATTGATTATAATAGAATGTTGTCTTCTGAAAGGCCTGTATGTATTAGTTAGAAACATTTTGGTTGATATCATTTGTTTTGATGTCAACCAAATATTGAAATATTTGGTTTGACATCAGATTGTAATATTTTGCCTAGGTGTTTATGTGTAGCAAGGATTTCAGTGCTATGTTTGTTGTTTGAATTTTTAATCAGTTTATTGGGGGAAAGTGAAAGCTAAGCATTATGTATTTGTTTCTGATTTTTATTTTGTTTAAAATTTCATTATTGGTTGGAATTTAGATGCAACTGAACAGTTGGTAAATTTATTGTGGCATAACTATAAGCTTACTCTACTAAATGCATTTAAAAATTGGAGCTTGATAATACAAAAGCATTTGCTACAATGCTTCCAACATTTTAATATACCATAAGAATCTTTGCAACTTTATTATACTTCCTTATGATTTGCTACCTTGCCATTTATTTAATGCATGTTATTCATAACTACCTTTTGACAGGCACTGCAGAGCTAGTGGAGAGAATAATACCTTTCATCTTGATGAAAGACTTGCTTTGTAACACCTGAACAATGTGTCAAACCATAAGTTTATGATAAGGAGCCGTTCATAAAATTTTAAAGGAGTAACAAAATCAAATTCAATTAAATGACAGTTGAGAACAAGAATGGATAATATTGTTAATAAATATCACTGAGCTGAAAGATTACTGAAATTTTATTTTACAATGTCCAAATTTGACATATTTATTTAGAGATGCGCAGTGTTTTTCACTGAAAAGTAACTAACTCCAGAGTTTTATCAGTATTTTTTAATTTGTGGACATCTAATTCTTTAGTGCATTAGTATGTAGTCATCTCTGTGCAATACTTTGATTATGGTGCTAAGGCTGTGTCTCATCACTTTTTGTCAGTTGGGTCAGTCAGGAGACTACAGAATTGGGTACCGGACAGAAAAATGAGACGGCTGATCAGCCAATGGGATCATTATCTGAAATCAGTAAAATCAGACAAAGAAGACCTTTCTTTGAATTGTCTGAATTCCACTGCAGTGGAAAATATATGCATGAAGTATGCCTTGTTTCTGCTGTATCGTAATTTCTTTCATTGGTATTTAAAGCCGGGAGGAACATTTTATTTTTTCCATTTGTTTTTCTCCCTCTTTCATACACGTACTACCATTTGATATAATCACAAAATTCTTACTCCTTAAACAGTAACAAAGCAGTTAACTTTTATTATTCAGAATTCTTTGGAGGGCATTACCTTAAATCACAGAACTGTCAAAACGCACAACATTCTAAGGTAGTTAGCTTGGAAGTCAGTCTAAGTGAAATTAATTTTTCATAAGACTAATTCCCTGTCATTAATACACTTTGAAAATAATGGGAGGTGAGATGAAATGTGGCCTTGCATACATTCTGTAAAGAATGCATTGCAAATAGATGCCTAATAGCAAATATCTAACTCCTCTTCTATGACATATTAATGTAAAAAATCAGTATGATAAAAAATAAATAAATAAAATTGTATATAGGTAGTCCTCAACTTACAACTGTTCTTTTCTGTACAACCCTTTGTTTAATCACTGTTCGAAGTTATAATGTCTCTGAAAAAAGTGACTTACAACTGTTTTTCACACTTATAACTGTTGCATTACCCCCAGGGTCGTGTAATAAAAGTTCGAACTCTTGGCAACTGGCATGAATTAATGACAGTTGCAGTGTCCCAGACAATGTGATCACCTTTTGTGACCTTCTGACAATGTGGAAGCCAGATTCACTTAACAACCATTACTGTTTTAACTGCAGTGATTCATTTACCAACTATGGCAAGAAAGGTAATAAAATGATGCAAAACTCATTTAACTATCTTGCTTAGCAATGGAAATTTTAGGCTTAATTGTGGTTGTAAGTTGAGGACTACCTGTACACAGAATTCATGTATGTATGTAAATAAGCCTTGTTTCACATTTTTCATGTAAAATATATATTATATATTATATTATTTATATTTTATATAAGAAATGAGAGAAAGACATGTTTTGTATCCCCACATAACCTCATGTGGAACAATTTATGCTGACTGCACATTAATCATTCTTGAATTTTAGATTGCATCCCTTAAAAATAATATTATCATAACTTAATACAGGTAGTCCTTTTAAACATCCATTCAAGTCACCATTTGAAATTACAAAGGCACTGAACAAAGTGACTTATGACTAGTCCTCAAAGTTCTAGCTGTTGCACCTCTACAATCATGTGAAGCAAATTTGGTTTCACATGGGCCAACCTTTATGACTGCCTTTTGGCTGCCTGCCTACCCACTGCCTACCTGACCACCTCATTCTGCACTACTACTACCAGCCAGGGCCTTCCGTTATTGTACTACTTTTTTTTGTGCTGGTGCCACTGGAAAGTCTCTTGTGGCCCTGCCAGACTGTCTGTCTGAATGAAAATAGGCCCAGCTGTGCTGGCACAAAAGAAGGCCCTTCCAGCTAGGCCCTTGAAAGAAAGTAAAGATAGATTGGAATAATTTTGTTTTAAAGTCAACAAGAAGTCCATATAACTCAACAAAATTCTTTTATATGTTTTCCTCATAAAAATAATAAAGAGGAACATATGAGAATGGAAACCATGAAAAATAAATATCGGTAATCATTATGTTTGCAAAAATGACATAAATTGAAAATTAGAAAAGTAGCATTGACTGTTCAAATATACCGGTACTGAATTATTAGCCTCTCGGTATAACCTGTCCATATTTAAATATACCAATTCACAGATGGACTTTTGTTCTGTCCCCTCCCACGAGTGGCCTTGCAGAGGCTCAAATAGCCCAGCAGTAACAAATGCAGGCTAGAGAGAATGAAGCTGGCCCTTTAATAAATAGTACTCTTCCAAAGCATATATCAGTCCAATAGTTACCGGGCAATGTTCCAAAGGTCTTGGCAGACGGCCAGCAGGCTAATGCAGCAATGCAGTCTCTTAACAAAAAACTCCAAACCAACAGTTGTAAATCCATTGCATCCAAAACGCCAACAAATTGTTTACCATGCCTTTCCAGTCCAGTCACACCCTTTTATACTTTGTAGGGTGTGGCCCTACGTCTCCTGACCATACCTCTTGGTATATGGCAATAGCTGTTCTCTACGACGTCTCCTACGTCTCTCTCTTGTATCCAATAGGGGCTCCCCCTCGGCGTTACCGGCCTCTGTTTCCTCCTCAATTTGGCTGGGGTCCAGAGGCATGTCAGCAACTGTCAGTTCTTGCTGACTAACCAGTGAAGACGGCCCCTCCGGCACAAGCTCGTGACAGCTTCCTCCTCCATATCATCCTCCGACTCAGCATGCGAAGATAAATCAGCCTCCGGGGCCGGGGTCACAACAACTTTAAACATGTACATCCTTATCGTTATCCTGTATTCATAATCATGTTTATACTTATATCTGTTACCTTATGCGTATTTGACAAATAAAATAAATAAATAAATAAAGTATAGAAATCCAGCACAATGTCAGAACAGCAGTGGGGCACGATGGCCTTGGATCCTGGCGAAAACTGGCTGGGAAGGAGTCTGTCCCATCTCCAAAGACAGTTCCCCACCCTAATTCCCAAGTTTGCAGCAGAAGAGGAAAAATCTCAAGCATGCATCCCTTCCCCCAGCACAATGGCAGAACACCAGAATACAATGGTGGATCTGACAAATATGCTGCAAGAATGTAAATAAATGATTTACCAAGACTTAATATTTATATTGTATATAAGGTTTTAAATATAACATAAAAACTTAGAACGAAAACTAATTTGGCATCCTGCAAGGTTTTGTTTCTATTTGCTGTAGCTGATACTAGTAAACAGTCTGTGTGAAACAATAGCACTGAAAAACATTGAAATGACTACTTTGATTTCGAATTGCACCTTGCACCCAAGTTTTGTTTGCTTTTCTGTTACAAATTTCAACTTTGGCTATTGATTTTGTTTCTAAGTGTAACATTTAACTGTAACAAACTGCTCCTAAATTAGCTATGTGCTACAGTTTACCTAATATGGTTAATTTATGATAGGACCCATTTTCATTTTTAATTAAAAATA